TGGTGCATGCCAACAGGCTTTGGCATTATCACGGTCCAGGACATTTCAGTTGGAATGAAGTGAATGATGGAACAAAAGACGCCACAGAAGACGTGTCACCTGGAAAGGCCACTGTCGAGGAAGAAACTCTACTCGGTTTTGAGAAGGGAAACAGTGAAGCCATTCATGAAGTTACTACCACTGAGGTGACCATTAACAATGATAGGACAGTTCCTGATGGAGCAGATGAACCTCACGTGAAGCAGAAGCCAGTACAGAAGAAGATACGTCCCGTAAAATTAAGAGACTTTATTGAATTCTAATTTTGTGTTTGTAGTGTTTGTAAATTCTGTACATTTACTTAAGTTATTGTTAATTATCTATTGGTTTAATGTAAGTGGCTATTGTTCGTCCCGAACAATACCAAGGAAGGGGTAGTGTTACGACAGCGAAAGTTACGTGAACCTAGTAACACGTCATGATATTCTCGAAGGTTCTTGAATGCTCGAGTGTTTACTAGATGTGCGGTATTCTTGTATATAAGACCGCCAAGAAGTGACGGAAACAAGGGGAATTGAATTGCCGACAGAGATAGAGACGGACAATTGAGTAAAGCGCGTGAATCGTTCATTGTGAATTATAGCATTTGTTTAAGTTATAGCGTGACTGTGGAAATTAAGTGTATTGCAAAGCTGTATTGAGAAAGAATAAAGTAGTTTTATTTAAGAAAGGACATGTATTGCTAAAGTTTCCTCGGAAAGAATTTTTATGGAAAATTAACAAACGAACAGAGACGTAATAATATTGAATACTCAAGACAGCAATGTATGGTTTATCACTTTCTATAGTGAATGATTTATCATTAATGGTAGGGATATAATTTTATACAATTTAAACATTCTATCAGTTGCTTTTAATTGTATTTCTATAAACATTCGTAGATTATGTTTAACAGCAGCTGTCTTTACGTCAGTCCATGTGTAATACATATTGTTGCGTCATCGAGATCATATGACTATTCTCACGCCCTCTACTTTCTAGAACTATCCTGTACTT